GGGGAATTCTGGGAGTTGTAGTCCACACACCTTCAAGCTGCCAAGGTTGAGAAACACTGATCTAAATAGTATGGCCGAAACGTATGTAAAACAAGCAAAGAGTGGATTTAGCATTACATTACATCACAGTTTCTTAAGATGGTTGTTGAATAAACCACCATTCATAGAATCAGAGTTGGAAGCGATCATTTCAGCCATAGAATCTTAACTCCCAGCTCAATGCAGCGATCCAGACTCAACCCTCCAATGCAAGGAAGTTTACCAGGCCTCCGGATAGCTGGGTCCACAATGGAGATGCTCTTACTGTTAAGCTAAAAGCAAGCAAACCTGGGATCTCAGAAACTCCTAGCACTGAGTCAATTCCTTAGGATTTCCTGCAGAGTTGAAATCTAGGTCCCACTAGCAATGAAAAAGAAATCGTTTAATAGTCTTAACATCCAATTCCACATCCCAGACTAATTCAACAGTTGGGCCAAAGCACAAGAACACCCTTACCTGGCTTCTAGCACGTCCACTCCTTCTACAGCTACCCCATAACACCACAAATGATCTAGGCAGCCTATTACATGAAATACACTCATAAATAATCAACATAATTAGAACTAGAATACAATTAGAACTTTGCTCAGCCAAAAGGCCCAAACGATGCATTTGGTTTCACTGAATAAAAAGGAAGGAATCATTTGATGTTTAAAAAGCCATAAAGCTATACCCCCACCCCTCCACTCCCAAGAAAGTTTTCTCTAAGGGGATTTCTCCTCCCTCCCTGAACTTCTAAAATCTCCAGCCAATCTGACACAGCCACATTCATGCAGCAGCAGATCTTAATTTGGGATACACATAAGCAAAAATCTAAGTTTTTTCCTTAACTCAGTAGCCATTATAGATAGCTGAGTAGAGCCAGTTATCATGAGACACCAGATAATCTATTTATCGTATTTCAATAAGATAGACAAGAAATGAATGACTCTCCAGCAGTTAAGAGAAGCTGTATAAATATTTTGACAAAGAACACTCACAGTGAGTATTTTGCACACTATTTTTCTTAGAGAAAAAGTGGATATTTTAATGCATTTATTGAAAGTGGCAGCCCTGAACCAGCTTCTAGGTTCAGAAGCTAAGTGGGATCAAGTCTGGTTAGTACCTGGATGGGAGATCCCTTGAATGGGAAATTAAAAAAAAAAAAAAGTCAATGGAAAATAATTTTGGTATTGCATCCGAGAAGTCATGAGGGATTAAATTTAGTTAATCTATTTGTACTATGATAATGTCAGCGTAGACACTACCTACCTGCAAAAGTCATTACTGTAAACAATGGGTAGTTAATGCATTTCCCATGCAGCTAATACTGTGATGACACAGCTTCAAATGTGCGGTTCTCAACATCTCTGCCCAAGGAAGTCAGTTGATAAGATACCGTACGCTGCTATTTACATATGCAACAGCCATACGACTTGAGATTATTTGGATATTAAGAAATATCCATGCATGTTTGAATGCCTTCCATTTCGTGTTTGCCACCCTGCTTGATACCTACACTCAGAGTCTGCATGGTTTACTTCCCAGGAACTGATCTTTTAAAACATACACTTTTGACATCATATCTGTCTCCCTAATAAAATCAAGATCGGGTGATCAAACTGCACCAGAAGATTGAACCACTCCCCACAGATATACTGTAAGAAATATAACAGAAACTAGACCAACATTTTACAATAAAAATAAACTTAAAAGAGGAACCATGCAAGTAAATGTCCCACTGGGCTTGGGGGTGGGGAAGATTATGCCATTCTTCTGCAAGTTGGAACGTGTCACCAGCCTGAATTTTTTTAAAAAAAGGTTCTGAGTATGCTTAAGTCACTTGCAATTTGAACAGAATCCTGAGAAACAACTAAAATGTTGCAATAATATTGTTATTTGGAGAACAGAATCCATGTTCTAGTCAAACCACCATTCAGCCTAACACTCACCATACTTAATTATGGGGATTAAATCATGTGCTACATCAGGGTTCCTCAACCTTGGCCACTTTAAGATGTGTGGACTTCAACTCCCAGAATTCCCCAGCCAGCATGGCATTCTGGGAGTTGAGGTCCCCACATCTTAAAGCGGCCAAGGATGGAAACACACTTCTAGATTACACTGAATTAATCTGACAATCTTTTAGTTGTTCCATATAGGAGTTGCTAAAGAAACTTCTCAAATTATTCCCACCGCACTGTGGAAAAGCACTGCACTCGATAGCCTTTTAAAATCACTTCTGGGGGTCAGCCAGACTGAATCCAAGTGCAACTTACTCCTGAGTAAGCAAATGCAACTGCAGGTTAAGTTAGCAGAACAAGGCCAGGGCACCGATTTTCCTAAGTCACCGCCTTTGCGTCTCGGCTTCAGAGACTCCCCGTACTTTGCTTCCACGCGCAAGTTCCTGGTCTCCTGCCCTGAACGCAAGTTGCCCCCGTCAGCACCCGAGCGAGCCTTCCTCCTCTCCCCAAAGAGGAAACCGAGGCATGCACAGGAAACGCTGCACCTCCCATCGATTAAAAAAAAGAAAAACCGCAGCGCAAGAATCCCTCGGGTCCACCCCCGCGCGAATCTACTCGCGAGCAACCACCCC